CTTAAACATCTTCAGTTCCTTTGATATTTTCTCATATGCCATCGTGTCTAGTTTCCCAACATCTTGGTTATACTCTTTCATGCCCTATAGCCTATCAATATCAATTCAGATGACTATTATCCATGTGAGGATTCCCTCCAATGATGAAAATTGCAACTCATGACTCTTATCCATATCTATCTCTCTGTCCAGCTATGTACCATAAAAGATTCCCCAAATATGCTAGAGATCTGACTCAAATTTTTCTGATGTCCCAAGGATATCAATGAAATATACAATATATCCATTAATTATCTCTTGTACAACATCAGCACTTTTTCTTTCTTTGATCACATTTCCTTAATGACATCCTTTACAATTCACTTCCTTTATAATTCTTTGATTGTAATACTTTGGAGGCCTTTTCTGTCCTCTGGGTGATCTTCAACTTCAACTCTTCAGAGACTAGAGATCACTGCAAGAAAACTCTTACTAAAAATAGACCCTTGTTTTAGGGAGATGCTTAGGGTAATTTCCCAAAGACAATCTATCCCAACTTCCTCCACCTCAACAATTTTGGAACCAGTTCATTGTACATTTGTAGTGTCTGTCCAAAACTGGGTAGCCAGAAGATAGATGGATGAATGGATGGACAGACATATACATATATTGTTATGCTTACTAATTGATATGAGTGGAGGTGCTCTATAAGTTACCCTTCCAACTCCATATTATAGTCTGAAAAAAATCATTTATCTGTAAATTACAATTTTGGGCATAGGTTAGGCTAGATGATTGTTAGGATCTCTTCCAATTTTAAATTCTGTGATTCTGATGTGACTGTGCATCAAATGTATAGATTCTATAAGCACAGTTTCAGATTTGTTACGGTGAATATATCTTGAACAGAAGATCTCATCACAGAAACAGTGTACTTGGTTTTCAAAATTAAAAATGAGCCAAACATTGTATTGTGGTGGGTTTATTGATTTTTGTTTGTCAAATTTTGACTAATTTGACACTGTACCTCCACTAAATTAATTGGTTATTCAGTAGAACAGACTTGTTCTATTCACTTCATGTAGGCACAGTTCCAGTGATAGGGACTTGAACTTTTAGCAGTTCAGAGGTGGAAAGGTCTAAGAGATCATCAATTAAATTTGTTTATTATACCCTCCTGGTGAAAAACTATATTTTATCATATTTCTCATATCACTTTGGATAGCCTCATTCTTGGTACTTACTCAGTCTACTTTGTGTTATACTCATTGTATCTTATTCCTTATGTTGCATAATAAGCTCTTTGTGATCAGGGGCTATGTAAATTTTTATCGTTACATTCCTATTGCCTAACACTAGGCCTTGCAAATAGCAGGTGCATAATAAATGCTTTTTGGATTAATTTGAATGTTACTGAAATTCTTCATTATCCTGATTAAAAGTAGTAGAGGCCCATTGGTCACCTACTATATCTTAGCTGCTATAAAAGCTACAGAGATAGTAGTATCTACTAGGCAAGAATATAAAACCTCCCAGTACCCATGATAACAACAATAACAATAATGTTGATAACATATACGTTAAACTATTTATAGTTCCAAACTGTTTTACACACATATACCCTCTGAGCCTCAGTATTTTCATCTACAAAATAGGAATGTAACAATAATCACATCACCAATTTCACTAAATTGTTGCAAAAAATCAGAGGAGATAAAAAGAGGCCAAAGCAATGCAGATAATCAAAGTCATGCAGATAATGCAAAGCCAGAACTTAAACTATAGTCCTGTTGTTTGTTCTTACAGCTGACTCTGCTTGTTTTGAGAGATCACAACTTATTTTTCCCTAATTCATTTCTTACATCAAAGAAAATAAAGTAAGTCACTCAGTGTTGTGTTTAACAATCAGCTCTGTTACAAAGAATATTTTTATTAGAAAATATTCAAACAGCTATTTGGAGGATGGTCACCCCACAGGGATTCCTATCAACCATGTATCAACCTGCTGCCCTTGACAAAAGAAGTCTGAGCCTTATATACTCTTGTGAAAAATTCTATTAATAATCTCATCCTGTTGGATTCTTACATTAAAGCTACAATTTAGGAGCAAAATGTTTATCAAATGGAGGAACACAAATCAAAATTACATTGTTTTAAATTAAATCATAAGTCAGTATCATACATCGTCCTCCAGAATGAAGAAATCACAAAGGTCAAAACAACAGTAGTTTTATGCACTAAATTCTCAATTATATTTATAAAAAAGTTAGCATCTTCTGATATTGTAGAATTTCCATATAGGCTATTTTGTTTTGATTATCAAATAGCTTATATATTCTGCTTCCACACATAGGTTCATGGATTTAGAGCTGGAAGGGAACTCAGAAGCTGTCTAATACAACCACCTCACTACATAAAAACTGGAATCAGTGGGCTTAACGATGATGATGACAGCACTTATATATCTATATGGCACTTACTGTGTGTCAGGTATTGTGCTGAATGCCTATAAATATTACCTCATTTGATCCTCATAACAACCTCGGAAGGTACACGCTATTATTATTATCCTCATTTTACAAACGAGGAAACCTAAACAGAGGTGAAGTGACTTGCCCAAGGTCACACAGCTAGTAAGGGTCTGAGACTGGATTGAAACTCAGTTTTTCCTAACTCTAGGGCTGTCACACTATCCACATTGCCACCTAGGTGCCCTAAGTTCACACAGTTAGTAAACATCAGAGGTAGAATTTGAATCCAGGTCCTCTGATTCCAGAGATAGTGTTGTTCTATTTTATCATACTGTCTTGCTGGGAAGGAATCTGCTATGCAAGTAATTAACTTGGGCTAGCAATAGCTTAGGTGGGGTGAGTGAGGCAAGAGGAAAACTCTACTAGGGAGAAAAAATGGGTTTCCTGTGTTGTTCACTCCTTCCTCTACTGTGAAGGTAAGGATTAGTTTTGATTGTCTAGCACCCTATAGGGAAGAGATCACATGTGGTTAAGGACCCCAGTCAATTCCCTAGTACTGGGGAACTAGAAAAGACATTGGTTTTGTTATTCAGTCATTTCAATTGTGTCCAACTCTTTTTGTGACCTCATTTGAGGTTTTCTTGGCAACGGCACTGGAACAGTTTGCCATTTCCTTCTTCAGCTTACTTTACACATTAGGAATTGAGATAAACAGGATTAAGTGACTTGCCCAGGGTCACACAGCTAATAAGTGTCTGAGACACCACACCACCTACCTGCCCAGAAAAGACATATAGTCCCCTGAAATATAACATGCCCAGAACAGAGAACTACATCCAAGCTGAGGTTGGGGGGAGTGTCAGAAGGGGGTCACTTAATGGTCCAAGAGGTAATGTTATTTAATGACTTTCAGATCTATCTTTTGACCATAGTCCTTCCAGATAATTCAGATAATTCCTTCCTTTCTAACCTGGCCAATATGAGCAAAAGGAATCTATCTAACATTATTTATCCCTCTCCTTAGTTAAAAAATGTTGCCTATATAAGGTCTCAGATAACTTTAGTACAACTTTGGCTCTTATTGATGTCAGGTCCCTAAAACTTTAATACACTCTTCAGCATTCTAGGGGTGTCCCTGAGGGGTTTGCTTAAGCCCCTAGCAGTGAGCTTCTATTAAAAATCAATTTAGTCACTCAGCCTTAAGTGGTTTTTAGAAAGGAACATGTACTAAAGGGTCATGATAAGAAATTAGTACAAAACATCCCAAGTCTGTGATACACTCTCCCACCCATACAGAATCCAGGAAAAAGTAGGCTCAAGCTTAGAGAACACATGTGGCAAAGCAATAACTCATAGCTCTGGGATGCTACAAGTCCTTTTCTCCCATGCGTAGTGTGTTCAAGAAGTTCCCCTTAAGCATGGTGAACTTCATCCATCTATCTTGGCTCCTAATGCAGATACTACTATGAGCTGATCTTGAGATGATGCTGGAACACTAGTGGGAAGGATCTCTATTGGCCAAAGGGGAAAGGGAGGGAAGGAGATTTGACCAAAGGTTTACACCTGCTGGTAGTTCTTCCCCATGGTGTGTTGGAAAGAAATACTTCCTCCAATTACCAGAAATCAATCCCTTCTCAGCATGTTTAATAATTTGAAAATAATCCTTTGAGCTATGGCCAACTTTCTGAATCTGATTCTTGTGCAACATCATCCCAATTGGAAGGCTGTTTAGTACTTAGTCTAAGGCCTATAAGTGATTGATTGAGATACTCTTAGTCAAGGTATTAAAGCAAAAATGAGATGGGGTGGTATCCCCCTCACCCTTTCCTTACTGTCCTCCAAAAATCTCTTGCAATATGTTTGACGCAAGTGAAATGCTGGATAGCCTTTTACTGACTTCTGTATTATCCATCTCAAATGTCTTCCCCAATGTGGAAGTTCCTACTCAAACATGGTCATTCATATTCTTCCATACCTCAACATATATATTGGTACAACTTGACAAACATCCTGCAAAGTCCTAATAGGCTACTGCCTGTCTTGTTGCTTAGGGCCTATCCCACCCCAAAACAACAAAGGAAAGAAAAAATAAAATCTCCCTTGGTAGGGGGGGCAACAATTAGGGGCTTGGGATTGGCTAGAAGCTAGTCCCTCCCATTTCATGTGAGAAACAAAATCAGTTTAGCTAGGTTTTAAAGTAGCAATGCTGGCCCATGGGCTACAGTTCTTGCCTTCTTCCTCTCTCAAGAAGCAACCTCCTCCAACGTTGGTTCATTTGGTTGCCAAGTGCCATAACAGTGGGTTACATTTCTTTCTACCTTCCTCTTTTAAGCAATCCATCTATGCTAGACCTCCCCAATGCACACAGACCATGTTTAATCATTGACTAACTTAAGAAGTTTAAGATCTGAGTCCATTTCTTTATATCTCTCTTCAGTTCTCCAAGAACCTGATGTATTTGTTGAATTTGTTGAACTAAATTGTTTGGTTTGTCTTGGACATGATTTGTAACTGTGGATAATTTTTAAATGCTTTTTTTTTGTATTTCAGAAATTTGATTCAGTAGAAGATATAATTGAGTACCACAAATTCTTTCCTATTGTGCTTATTGATGGGAAAGATCAAACAGGAACCCACCGAGAGCTCTGTTACCTCAAGGAGCCTCTCTCACCCAGCAGAATCTACTCATCCTAAGAGGGAATGAGGTCTTTATTTTACCTTTATTTCAAAAGATCTAGTATTCATGACATTCTGCAGAGAATTCAAGAGATGACCAGTTGATTTCGTTATGAGTGGAAGATGGACATTCTCCAGTAAAAACTGGAAATATGTGCTCTGAAAAATGTCTCCTTAACAGCTTAAGTAATGTCCAAGAACTATCAAACTGGAGAATGAACAATTATAACCTAGAACTCTTAGTTTAGAAATTTCTATTGGTTTGGTGATATTGAAATAGAGTGCAGAATTGAGTAACATCTTTGACTGATTCAAAGCTTACTGATAGAAACCTATAAAAAAGGAAAAAACTCTCAGCAAATAGATGCAGAAAGACACACAGATCAAGGAAGTAACACCTAGGTAGGAAAGTCCGGCCATCCTCACTCACTGATGATACTATTCAACCTATGGGGCAGGCATTTCGGTCTAGCTGAAGTTGAAAGGTGCCCTGAGGAAGAAAAAGTAAGAAGTATATGCCAGTAGAGTCAAGCCACCAGTACCATCTTCCCTCAGCTCTCAATGAAGTTAGCTTAGGACTTTAAAGCTAAGAGCCTTGGGAATACCTGCACTATGTAAACCACTGGCTCTGCTTCTAGTCGGTGGTCCCTACAGCCATTACTGAAAAGAGCAGTCACTGTGAAGAAGAGATCTACCTTCCTCATCACTACTAAATGATAACCAACTGCCACTGACAAGAAAGTAAGATCAAGAGCCCTTGGATTGTCAGCTCCCTCCACATTCACCACCAGTACTACTTCCAGTTGATCCTCCAAAGCCATCATCCTGTGAATCAAACACTATGGAGAGAGGACCTGAAGAATACTTCTGTAGGTGTTACAGGTCAATCACCATGGAGCAGTGTCCATGAATCAAACTGGAGAATGAACTACCCCTCCCTCTTCAGCAACAACAGATACCAAAGACCCAGAAAAGACTTAAAGGGTCACAGATCTTTTCTGATGAGGTAGATCTTATCCAGGCTGAAACTGAGGATGATGGTAACTAGCTCCTTCTTCACCAAAGACCTTGGCACTGTCATAAGTTTCAACATTAGGAGGAGATATCATTTTTTTCAGTGGAAATTACATTTAAAAAGATACATTAAAAACTGCTTTGATGAGGCACTCTAAGTACAAGAGAACCTAACCATCTAACTTATGACTGAAACTCAATATAGAATGAGAGTTCCTTGAGAGCAGGGACTAGCTCTGCTTTTCCATTTTTATCCCTAACACTTAACACAGTGTTTTGCACACAGTAAACACTCGATATTTGATTTTTCTTTCACTTATTACAGACTTAGAATAGACCTATTATAATAAGATTTGGCAGACAGAAAACAAATAACAATAATAAACACAACTGTAATGTAAGGAAGTTTAGGATCAGCCTCCCAAAGGGGTAGCATTTGAGCTGGACCCTGAAGGAAGGTAAGGATTCTATGAGAGTAAGGTGAGGAGGGAGAACATTCCAGGTCTGGGGGACAACCAATGCGAAGATCCAGAGATGGAAAATTGAATGTCAAGTATAAGGGATACCAAATTAGCCAGTATGGCTGGCACTTGGAGTTAGTAAAATAGAGTAGGATGAACTTAATCATAAAAAGGAGGAGGATGGTGGCAAAATGGATTAGAAAGCAAAACAATAATTTGCTCTATACAAGAAGCACATCTAAAACATAAAAACTAATGATGAATTAAAATCAGGGGTTAGACTAAAACTTCTTATTCTTTCACTGAATATAAAAAAGCTTAAGTGGCAGTCATCCTCTAGGAAAAGGCAATAGTAAAAGTTTATACAGTCAGAGATAAGCACAGAAACTGCATTATTTAGGCACTATAGAAATGGAACACACACACAGACACACAGACATACAACATGCCTCTAAGATTTAGATGTGATATATTTGGTGATTGATGAATGGGAATCATAAAGAATATATCAATTCTTTAGCATTGCATGGTGCCTTTACAAAATCCTAAGACAGGACATAAGGAGCCCATAAACAGATATAGACAAACCAAAATACTCCAAACATTCTTCATAGATTATAATGCAATAAACATTATAACCAATAAATAAAACATTAATAAAGGACTGAGAGGCCAAATAATTATATCCTAAAGAATAAGTGGGTCAAAGAACAATAATAAGAATACTAAATAATTATATTAAAGAAAATAAGGAGATAGCATGCCAAAATGTGTGGGAGCAAATCTAAAGCCATCCTTGGGAGAAAAGTATGTCTTTGAACACATATTAACAAAAGAGAGAAAGAGAAGACCAATTAGTTGAACATGAAATCACAAGCAAATAAATTAACTAAACAATCCCAAAAGAAGCACAAAAGTAGAAATCCTAAAAATAAGATAAACAAATACAAAAACAAAAAAACCCTATGTAACTGATAAAATAAAAATAAGAACTGATTTTTGAAAAGACCAATGAAATATCAACCAATCAATAAATACTTGTTAAATGTCTACTCTTCAGGCTGTGTGCTATATACAAGAGATATAAATACAAGTAACAAATCATTCCCTGTGTTTTCAAGGAATTTGCATTCTAATGAGAGACAAGTACATATGCAAGTATATACAAAATAAATATAAATAAGTACAATGTAATTAAATATAATGTAGTTGAGAGGGCACTAACTTGAGATCATAAAAGGCTTCACATAGAAGGTGGTGATTGACCTTCATCTCGAAGGAAGAGGGATTCTATGAAGTGGAGGTGAGGAGAGAATGTAGTCCAGCCATGGGAGAAATTCAGTACAAAGACAAGGAAATGGGTAACAGACAGCCATGTCTGAGGAACAGATAGAAGGTCAATTTGGTTGGGTCACAGATTATGGGAAAGGGAGTAATGTTCAATGATTCTGGAAAGATAAATTGGGGGCCAAAATGTAGAAGGCTTTAAAACTTCAACAGAGGAGTTATATTTGGTCCTAGAGTCAACAGGAAATTTATTTCACAGGACAGTGACATAGTCAGATTTGTGCTTAAAGAAAATTACTTGGCAGCTGAGTGAAGCAGTGAGAAATACTTGACGCAGGGAGAGCAATTCAAAAGCTATTAAAATAATTTAGATGAAGGGTCTTAATTTGTTGAATGAAAGTAGTTGTGTGAACAGAGAGAAGGGGGTAAGATAAATGAGAGGTAAAAAATGTAAAATTTGGCAACTGGATGTGGGGGATGAGGAAAAATGAAGAATCAAGGATAATGTCAAGGTTATAAATTGAAAGACTAAAAGAATGGTAGTACCTTGACAGAAATAGATAAATATTAAAGAGGGGTAGGTTTGGGGGATAAAGACAACAAATTCAGTCCTGGAAATGTTGAATTTGGGATGTCTCCAGGAAATGCAGTTAGAAATATTTGTAGAAAAAAAGTAAGGAATAAAAGCTTTCTCAGTAATATCAGGAGTAAAGCATGCATGCTCATTGTCTTCATTCCCATTTAACTGACCTGCAAGAAATACTAGGTATAGCAATGACAAGAAAAATAAACTGAGGAAATAAGCATAAAGAGGAGAAACAGTATTATCTCAGTTATGGTGTTGAGAACCAATTGTAACAAATTTAAGGTGATTAATGGCTTTGATAAAGAAAAACCCAGAAGGAGAGATAGGAAACTAAATTTGATTTAAAAATACAACAAAATACAACAATAAATGCAGTAAGTATCTGGGAGTTGACATACCAAAACACATGAAGGTCTTTAGTCTACAACTAAAACCAATTTTTACACACACAAAAAACCCTTAATACTTGGAAAAGTATTTAACATGCATGGCAGAGCCGTATCAATTTAATAAAAAATCATATTACCCAAATAATGCTACAAAGTTAGTGCTATACCAATCAGATCACCAAAGGGGTATTTTATAAAATTAGATAAAATAATAAAATTTGTTTGGAAGCACAAAAGGTCAAGAATATGAAGGTATATTCTATGTAACTTCCAGAGTTAGAGAGTTGCCTAGAGTACTGAGAGATTAAATGATTTGTCTGGGGTCATATGGTCAGTATATGTGAGAGGCAGGATTTGAACCCATATTTTCCTAGCTTTAAGATTGGCTCTCTATACATTACTATACTATTTTAAAAATAAAATTAAATTTTAGTATAACCCCATTACCACACATATCAATGCTTGGCAAAATCTCACAAATAGCATATGCTCAATAAATAGTTGTGGATTGAATTAATGTATGGTGGCAGATGTCACATCTCCCTTAGAGGTTAACTAGATCTGATCAGTCTTGTCCTACATGTAGTTATGCCAGATGGGGAAGAAGGAATATGGTATCAGTAGATTATATGTAATCTATGGAGTGTGTGAGTTTTGTTTATGCATGAATATATGTGAATCCATCCAATAAATATCTATGATGTAACAGAAAAAGAAAGATTATGAAGGTGTATAATTTTTAAAAGTACAAAAGGGGCTCAGCATGACATATATTATATATGTATATATACATATATGTATATATGTGTGTATATATATGTATTATTAATCAAAAGTACTTATCAAAATTATCTAGTATTAGATAATTTTTTTAAAAGATTAGTGAAATAGCCTAGATAAGCAAGACTTAGAAATCAATTAACCAACAAGTACTTATTAAGTGCCAACTATGTTTCAGGCATTGTACGAGGTGCAGGGGACATAAGAACAAAGTACAAAACAACCATTACTTTAAGGAGTTTCATTTGTATTAGGGAAGACAGGTACACGTATAAATACATTAGGCAAAGTAATTAACAAATATTATCTCATTTGATCCTCAAAACAACCTGTAAGGTAAGAGCTATTATTATTACCACTTTGTGGTTGAGATGAAGTGACTTGCCCAGGGTCTAATGGCTAGTGTCTGAAACTAGATTTGAACTCAGGTCTTCCTGACTCCAAGCCCAGTGCTCTATCCTCTGCACCACCTTGCTGCCTCACCAAGAGAAGGTATATACAGGGAAAAGGGAAAATGGTCTAGGATAGAAACTTAGGGGATACCTTCATTTAGGAGATATGATGTGAATTATGAGCCAGCAAAGGAGATTGAAGAATAATAACACAGGTAGGGGAACCTGTGAAAACAGTGCCATGAAAACTCCAAAACAGGAAAGTATCTAGGAGAATGTGGTTAACAGTGTCAAATGGAATAGAGAGATTGAAAAGGAAGAAATGACCATAAGATTTCACAATCAGAGGTCACTGATAACTTTCAAATGAGCAGTTTTAGTTGAATGACGAAGTGAGAAGCCAGACTACAAAGGGTTAAGAAGTGTGAGAGAGGGAAGTTAAGGCATCAAATGCAGACAGCTTTTTCAAGGAGGGAGGCTGAGGAAGGGAAGTGAGGGTATGTTATGGTCTAATGATGGTTTTTGGTGGTGGTGGTGTGTTTTTGTTTGGGGTGTTTGGAGGGGATGAATGGGGGGAAGAGAGAGTCTTGAGTATGATTGAAGGCAGTAGGGAAGGAACCAGTAGATAGGACAATGAAGGTCTGGGAACAAATGGGGGATGACTGAGATTGCAATCTGTTGGAAAAGACAAAAGTCTAGAGTTCAGTTAAACCCAGAAACATAAACTATCAAAGAAGGTGCTCTTTGTAACAAGAACAAGAACTGTTGGGAAATTTGAAAGCAGTTTGGTGAAAAATAAATTCCCATGGAAAAAAAAATCAAATATAAAAAAATAAAATTTAGAATTTTATCTTTCACTTTTATGGATACAAATAAAAATCAGAACCAGACAAGATATAGAAGAAACCATAAAAATAAAAGCTAATCTCAATTATATAAAATTTAAAAGTTTTAGCACAAATAAAATCAATGCAGCTAGAATCAATAAGATATATTTTGGGAAACAACTGTTGCATCAAATATAAAAATATCTGTCATCCAAACCCTTTAGGAAATTGACACAAAGATCAAGAACTGTTATCTAACAGATAAGCGGTTGAATGTCAAGAACAAATGACTTCTATAGGAAGAAACTTAAACTATCAATAACCATATGAAAATATTTCATATCATACTAAAAATGCAAATTAAAACAAACCTCAGATACTACCTCCCTACCAACAAACTCACAAAGATGTTCAAAAGGAGATAAACTCATTGTTGGAAATGCTATGGCGAGACAAGTATACCAATTGGCCAGTGGAACCATGAGTTTGTTCAATCATTCTTGAATCCAAGCTGAAATGATGTAATGAATGTTATTAAATTGTTCATATTACTCAGTCTAATTCCCGAGGAAGTTATTCCCATAAGACAAATTCCAAAAGACAAAAAGAAGAGATCCACATACAGAAAATGGAGTTGTACATAGCAACATTATTTGTAATAAGAAAGGGCTGAAAAAATGTACCCAATGATTGGGAAACAGCTTAGCAAATTGTGGGCTATGACTATGATGGCATATTACTCTGATGTAAACAATGTTGACTATGAAGAATTCAGAAAAAAAGAGTAACAAATGGTACAAAGCAAACAGGACCTTTTGCCAGGCAGTGGTTTTATTTACCACTAGTGCCAGTCTTCGAACCTTTAGGTACATGTACAATAACTACACTATGAACAAAGTAGATATTAAGAGGAAACAAAACCGTGGTTGTCCATACTGTTCAATGATACTGCCATTGGTAAAATCAAAAGACATATTTCTTCTGTTAATAATCAATAATTGGTTATGTGTGTATGTTTCTTTCCTCCTCAACACCGTCCTAAGAATGTACTTTTGAAAAGGTATAGTTTGAGTGTTTGTTGGGAAGTATCTTTTCTATCAAAATGTATCAATACATTTGAAAAAAAAATTGTAGCCATATCAAGCATATATTTGTTGACAGAAAAAAATTTACTATATATAATTCACTCATGGCAATAGAAATATGATAGTTCTGTCAACTGGCAAGTAGTAAAATTAGAGTTATAGTATTAAGTAATAATGGGGGAGGGGAGGGAAGCTTTACTGTTGCTGAACAAAGCTGTTTTAGGACCATTCCATTCTAGGAAATCTGATCATCACTAACCAACAAAAGTCTCATTCATTTTATAGTCTCTACAATCAAAGTTGAGTGGATTGTGGAACTCAAATGATTGCAAAATTTTACTTCAACCATTAGTGTTCTTCAGTAGACTTTTGTTTATTTCCCAGTCTTTAAAACTAATCCCAGTAAAAATTCCTATCCAGACCTTCATGGTATGCAGAGGAACCTGGAAACAGTCTAGTTTTATTACATATACTATGTTTATTCACATAGCCTATCACATTCCATAAAACCATAGAATGGTAGCATTGGAATTCAATTCAGAGAAATGAATCTTTTTTTTCCTGTTTTTAATTTGATTTTTTCAATTAATAAGCATTTATTTTCTCTCCCTCCCCTTTCCCTAATTAAACAAAAGAAGAAAAAGAAAACCCTTGTAATATGTATAGTCAAGCAAATTCTCATTCTGAATCTTGAATTTATTACCTTCTCTGCCATAAAGTGGGTAGCATGCTTCAGCTTCATTTCTCTGGAGTCCTGTTTTATCATTTCATTGATCAGATCTTTCAAAGTTGTTTTTCTTTATAATATTATAAAGGAGTATAAATTGTTTGGGTTCTATTCACTTTACTCTCCATTACTTCTTACAAGTCTTTCTAGTTTCCTCTGAAGCTGTCCACCAATGAAATGAAATTCAGCAAATTTTTATCGCCCGCTATTTTCAAAACTCTATGTTTTGAATTTGTCAATTGGCAAGTGAGCAATACTAAGTAATAACTGGAAAAAGCTTCACTGTTTTTGAACAAAGCTATTCAAGCACCTTAGGTCCTAGGGAATACAAAAATAAAAGCTCATTGTCCTCAATGAGACTACATTTTACTAGTGGTGGGAGGAAAGGTATTACACACATACACATAAGTAACTACAAACTACAAACTAATTTTTTTAAAAAGACTAATATTGTAATTGAGAGAGGCTCAAATAAAAGATGACATCTGAACAGAGCCATGAAAGGATGTATAGATTCTAAGAAAAAGAGATATGGGGGCAGCTGGGTGGCACAGTGGATAGAGTACCAGCCCTGAAGGCAGGAGGACCTGAGTTCAAATACGGCCTCAGACACATAACACTTACTAGCCGTGTGAGCCTGGGCAAGTCACTTAACCCCCAACTGCCTAAAAAAAAAAAAGAAAAAAAAAAGAAAGAAAAAGAGAAAGAACAACATTTCAGAAATAGAGGATAGCCCTGTGAAGGGATCAGCATAGAAGATGAAATATTATGTATAGTGAACAGCAAATAGGCCTAGTCTGCCTGGAACAGTGTGAGTGCATGGGAGGAATTGATGTAAACTAAGTATCGAAAGAGGAGCTGTAGTTGGAGGAAAGAGTTTTAAATGGCAAACAGAGGAATGTGTATTTTATCTTAGAAGCAACAGGGAGCCAGTGAAGCTTTTTGAAGAGGAGTGACATGGTTAGACCAATTTCACAGCTACATGAAAGATGGACTGAAGAGACTGGAAATGGGAAAAACCAATTAGTAAGCAACTGCTATAGGCTTTGTGATGAGAGTCTGAACTGGAATGACTACTATATGAGCAGAGAAAAGCCAGATACAAAAGATCTTATATTGAATCAATAGTACTTGGCAAATTATTGGATATAGGGAGAGAAGAGAATGGCTCCAGAGTTGACAACCTGGGTGACTGGAAGGTGCTCTCAACAAAAACAAGTGAGTTATTAAGAGGGATAGGTTTGGGAGGAATGGAAATAAGCTTCACTTTGGACAGATTGGGTTTGAGATACCCATAGAGCTTCCAAGTGGAGACATCCAGGAGGCAGTAGGTGATATATTATTAGAGTTCAGGCAAGAGATGTAGGTTTGTAAGTCATCTGCATAAAGATGATAATTGAACAAAGAATTCATTTAAAAGAATGAATGTATCATTGTAAAGAAGAAATCACAGAATATTAGAGCTAAAAAGAAACATACAACATAATACAACATAAGTTTCTCCAAGTCCTATTTTCTAAGCTTCATTCCACATTGAACATTCTATGTTCTAATTTACCTTTCAAGTACAATACCTGTTTTTAGAAACACAGAACATTTGAATGTGAAGGCACCTTAGAAAACCTAGTCCAATCTCATTTTATAACTGAAAAAAAAGACCCAGAGGGAAATGCCTTGCACAAGGTCAACTCACCCTAGGTTTCTAACCCTAGTTATTCCATAAACTCTAAGGACATGTCTCTTTCATTACCTCCAATGACACCTTCTGTATCCATTTCACTTAGAAGTAAAAATAATGAAGAAGAAAAAAGAAAGCCTGGCCATTTATGCACAATTTTCTTTTTAAACCACTTTTCAAAGACCCAGAAACCATTACAAAGATGCCAAGACTTCCAGGCAGAGAAGATTCACCATTATGTAATAGTTCGACAACCACCAGT